TAAAAAATATTATCACTCAATATTTAATTTGATTTTGATGATTACACTAACACAAATAACGTGTTCGGACACTAATACCATTACGCGCTTAAAATATATATGGACTGTAAACCAGTGTTACCTAACCGCCACGAAAATTAACAAAACGTTAATATTCTGTTTGTTTTTTAAACTCTTTCCACTCGCTTAACTTACTGGTCAAAGATTATTAGACAGATTTCATGATTATTAATTTAAATGAATGTTAAACTTAAAATTAATAGAATGTATACTTATTTTTATCAGGTTCTAAAAAAATATGATATAAAACTATCTTATTAAAAATAATATGAATCAGTAGCGAATTCAGATTTTAATTTTGGGAGATTTTACTTCATTTTATTTTTTAGATATGATTAAAAAAATAAAACTGAAACCACAAGAACAATAATGGCTTCAGGGGTGATTTTTTTCTTGACACCTCTCTAAATTTAATAACTGTATATGGGTAGTAATTTAAAAATAGTACAATTGTTTAAATATTTAACTCAGTTCACTCACTCACTATTTACCCTTATTTGTAGCTACTATTCATATACTTATGGATTGATGGTCAACTGTGGTGAATAATTGAAGAGAAGATTGGTTGGGAAGTTCAGTAAAAAAAAAATAAATTATATTAATTTTAGTCCAACGTTTCGGCACAAAATATAGGTCTTCATCAGGGCCAAGAAAAAACCAGACAATGGGTATGAGAAACTATTAACATTAAAAAGAAAATAATAATAAGTAGCTGAAAGCACTAGCGGATCCAGGATTTAATTTTGGGAGGGGGCTTCAGCCCGAAACCTTTTTTTTTCATAAAAATAACGATAATTACTTTGGAAAAACAGAAAGAAACTAACTACCTATATGAAATGGTGTTTAAGTTATTCCTTAAGTACTTTTTATGTAATTACACGAACAATAATACTTTAAGAGATATTTTTTAATTTTTTTCCCCCATAAAACATGGTTATATTTTTCCATTTTTGGGGGGGGGCTTCAGCCCGAAAGCCCCCTCCTAAGATCCGCCCGTGGCTGAAAGGTATGGTCTAATAACAAGTAGAAGAAACTATTAAATAAAGTTATTATTTATTTCATACTTAATAATAACTTTAAATAAATATACTATTACAATAAATAAATATACTTAATTTTACTATAAGTATAACAAAAGTATGAACCTTTCACCTACATATTATTATTTTCTTGTTAATGTTAATAGTTTCTCATACCCATTGTTATCTGTTTTTTTCTTAGCTCTGATGAAGGCTTGAACTTTGGAAAAAGTCGTCACATTAATTGAATAATTATTATTCATATATCTAATGAATCAATTATTCCAATACTTATTGATATCCAACTAGACTTCTTTGAAAAAATGTATTAATTGATAACTCAGACAAAACTATTTGCTTGGAGCAGGCGTAAGAAGTGCACACAATTATAAACTTAATGGAAAATTTCAAAGCAAGGAACAAGAGGAAACCTGGAAGACTGCATCAAGTGTAATTGTGTATAATTTTTAAAATTCTACTTTCTACTTGCACTGCCTTTAAGAAGAAGAGCAATAAAATATCTTGGGAGAGGGGATGGAGATTCATGTGCCATCTACCTTAGGGGGAATGGGTACCCCTGCCTTGGAGCATAGATCTTTTTGGTTGTGGAATAGGACTAAAAAATCTCAATTTTGGTTAATGTTATAATCAAGGCTTCCAATGTGTTCAATTAATGAGAGAAGTTCAATTAACTATAAATAAAAAATGAATTTTTAAATATCTTATCTTAGTTCATTAGAAATGAAGTCAACGAAATGGATGACATCAATGGCAGTGGCATAAAAAAAAAAAACTCTCGATATGGGGTCCAAGGCAACAATTTATTTTTGAGGACTCTTAAAACAAATAAATAATTTTAAATTTAAAAAGTATTATTTCCAAAAAAAAAATAACAAGTAAATAAAAATATATATTCTTCTATGCTTTGGCTTGTTAATAAATTGTAATTATTCAATAAATCATTTGATCAAAGGCAAATATTTTTTCATTTTTTTGTGATGGAGTTATCACACAAAACTAAATCTGGTGTGCGCAACACACAACTTTCACTTATCTCTCTACTCTGAATAGAAATTATTTTCTGGCAATGTTGGGCTATTATAAAATTTTTAAAGTGCATCTTAAATGGAACTAAAGCTTAAAGCTTACAGATAACATATCATTAAAACTTAAAATTACAAAAAGTCTATTTATTATATCGATGGTGGGCAGTAAAAATCTAGTTTTATAAACCACATAACTTCAGTCTTTGAGCATTTCAATAGATAAAATGACTAACTCCAATTTCAACATTATTGTGTTATGTCATTTTAGTGATATTTCTTGTTGGAAAAGTTATATTTACACAGACAGGTCAAAAGTTGTAACACTAATTGTGTGTGTAAGAGGATAATGTTGGGATTTCACAAAGGGAAAATTCATCAAATCATTTACTAAAAGCTTAATTGATGATTTTTTGGAATTAACGGCCGATAGATACCTGATTGTTTAAACATAATATCATACCTAGAGTTTTTGAACTACAGCAAAAGTATTTAAGATTATAAACATATCCATGAAATAATTTTATATTTCACTTCTTCTTTCATACAAGTACAATTAAAGAGTATTTTAAACAATGGCATTGTCATGATTCGGTGGATTTTAAATACTTTCTTTTCAAACTTAGAAAAAAAATTTAAAAGTTTATATTTAGTAAGAAAATTTCATTTGAAACATGTGATTTACGTTAAATAATGTTAGTTTTCTGAAATTATCATTGTTATGTTATGTTTTTTGTCACTCTCCGTTACCTTCTACAACTTTATTTATATGATATTATTTTTTCTAAAATTTTCCGCTTTATATTATATGTATATCTTCTGACTGTTATTTCCGGAGATTCATTTTCAACCTGGATCAGCATTTTTCTTTATTTTTCCTGTTTCTAATTGTCATATTCTTTCAAACTTCATATTTAGCTATTTTTTATAGTTACTGTCCATAAAAGAGAGTTAATTTTTTTAAATAAATCATGTTAAAGGTACTTTAGAGAAAGACGTATATGAATATGAACATTGGGCATTTGAGCCCTGTAAAGTGACATTAATGGGGATAAAACCTAAATGATATTTAAGATTACTCAATTACACAATGTGATTCCTCCGAAAGATTGAGGGGAAAACGAGAAGAGACAGCGTACGCAATACCACCATCAGGTTGAACCTCAATATTATATTAAGCTGGCCAATGATGATAGAAGAGAATCAAGTTTAATGGCTAGGACATCTGCGGACGGAACCAAACAGAATAGCTAGCAAAGCCTATCGAGCTAAAGTAGAAGGCAAGAGAGGAAGAGGACAGCCTGGAAGATAAGGTGAAGAGCGACTTCCAGAGAAGAGGTCTTCAATGGAATGATAGTACGTAAATCAATTTTGTACAACTTTTTGTTTTTGACCTAGACTGTTCATATACTACACACACACACACACACACACACACCATTTTGTGGGACTTAGTTATTTGGACTCAGGGAGACCTCAAAACACGTATTTCCGTTGAAAACTCAGATTCGAAAATTTTCATGATCGCAATACTAACCCTTACCCCTTACTACATATTTCGGTAAGTGAAAGTAAAAATCCTCTGCTCTATGGAAATTGGCAGAACCGTATGCCACTTCTACAGGAATAATAACTGGTGATACAGCTTGTTTTTAAATAAAAAATTCAGTATAATAATTATTCCTATATTACTTTTTAAAGCAAGTAACAATCCATAATCCTGAAAATGAAAAAGTTGAAATGATAGAACCTGTCATACAGTCTTTTATAATCGATGATGTACATAAATATTTTTTTTTTTTCATTTCATGAACATATTTTAGGAACTGGGTACTGAGTGATTTAAAAATGTTGCACTTAAATTCTAAGGACTCCTTTAAAACTTAATTCAGATTCTTAATCATGGAATCATTTCCAATGAAATTAAATGCCCATATCGGTTATTTTGAGTTCAATAGAATATAAAAGCGATATTTTATAATACTTTTAACTTTATTTTTGTAAGGTAAAGGAACAAAAATTGCTTTTGCAAGTCAATAATTAGTGAAAAACTTGTCATCGGTTTTGATCTCCAATTTAAACTCAACTTTAAAGTATTTTGACCAGTATATAAGCGGAATCTATAGAATAGAGTTGGACTAGTATGAAAAACTTTGTAACATACAGATAGGTTAATTAATAAAAAAGTTTAGGATATAGGTATTACTTAAAACATTTCATTAAAGTGTCAATAATTGGTGACTTTATCCTATAGTTTATTCTTCAAAACGCAAATTAAAAAAAGAAAAGAAAAAAGAATACTTTCAGCAACAGATGTTAGTTTAAGAATATTTGGTTTCTCAAGTAATATTCTATAATACTTATATTGGCTCATATGATGGAAGCCTGAGATATAAATTTAAATCGTGGGGTTATTTTCATATATTTGAAGTATTATATCATGTTTGAAATTATTTTCCAGTAATAGATTTTTACTGTTACAGGTTGTTCTCTTGACTTGGTAAGGTAAAACTTCAACCAAAATTATTTTTAAGTTATCCTCTTAATTCTTTCTATAAAAGAATCTGCTAAGAGGATTGCAAAAACATTTATGTTTTTCAAGTAATTACGTTATCAAAAGATTGTTTAGTTATACATTTAATGTATAACACTTCTTAGTCAAATCTTACAAGTAAACAGTTTTGTAACATAGGAACAAGAAATTATTGAAATACGATTTGTGGTATGCTAAAAATTTTGTTACCTCAGTGACCTACTAAATACCATTTGGTTAACTGACATATCTTAAGAAATCTGAGCCAGCAATTCAATAAATCTCATAAACAACTTCAGGAATTATTAATGGATGTGGAAAGTGGAAACAATTTAAATACAAATTAAAAAATGTATACTCCTTATGGAGTTAATATATAATCTCATAACAAACATTTACAAGAAGAGATAACACCGATAGTATATACTTAAAAGTTCATTAAGGTTTCTATTTATATCTAAAAACCAAATAAAAAACAATCAAGTTTTTTTAAATTATTAAAAATATAAAATGTATTTACTGCTGATAGTCCTATACTAAAAATGGAATATAATACAAAGTCAAACAAATAATGTAGTATATCAATACATAATGCCAACAGAATTAACATAAAAAGAATTTATGCATGTCCTTAGAATCGGTACAATTCATTGCATATTTTAACTACATTATTCATGAGTAGTAGAATTGATACAAATAAAAAAAAAAATTATAACTTAAGTGTGAGATGTTCAAAACTTAAAATTAATTTGCAAAATTTACAAGAGCGAGGAATTCAATAAATAATAACAACTTAATCTGAACAAGAGAATCTTCCATTCTTACAGAAACTTGGAAGATGTTTAAAAAAGTAAAAAAAAAAGTGTTCCCTTCAAGTCTAATCACTAAATTCACTATCATTTCCTTTGTCGTCATCATCTTCATCTTCGTCATATTGATATTTAATTGGTTTTCGTGATCGGCCTACGGACTGTCTAACAGGTGGGGCTTCAACCATTTCAATATCATCCTCGCCATCTGATGTTGATGCCTTCTTCTTCTTGGACTATTAAAAATAATGTCATGAAATAATAGAAAATATAATGAAATTTAGAAAATTAAAATCTCTCAAATTTTTAAAAAAGTATTCTAAATTCCCCTAAAACCTTAAGCATTCTTTTCTCACGATGTTATCATAATTCAACATTTTTATGAAATAAAATTTTTTCAGAAGTGTTTCTAAATTTCTAGCTTAAAACGGAGTGAAATCCAAAATTTATTTATGTGGTTTGGAAGAACATGAATTCCGCTAACCAACGATTGTACTGGCCTTGAATTTAGAGAAAAACTTGAGAAGTTACAAATGCTTTAGGTTAATGGCCGGAAAAAAAATCCTCCAAGAAAATCATGTACTAAAATATGAAATCTTTGTTTTCGATAAAAATTTTTATTTAAGAATTTAATTAAATAACATTTTTTTTATTATTATTATTTATATGACATTTACAACTATATAAAAAAAATACATCTAGTAAAAAATAACATTAAAAAACGAATCGAACTTTCTTTTTCAGAGCAAAAATTACTTGGTTTCCTTTACTAAAAGTACCTTTTGGTTTTTGTTAACTAGATACTTTATAAATAATTTAATACCATAGGCAATAATTTGCTTCCTAACTACCGAAGGTGGAGAAGCATTGTGTTCGTGCGAGGTTAAAAAAAAATTGGTGCTGAGAGTCAAAAATTTCCACTCACGTTTTACGTTTCAGACATCAAGGATCAAATTTGGTTCAGTGACTGTCAATCAGTTTTCATAAAATTCTCAGGAATTGATGGTCCCATACAAATTTTATCAAATTCCGTCCAGTACTTCCGTTTACACACGCACAAACGTATTTTTTTAGATATATCAATATAAACGGCTGGTTCGATTTGACGGAAAGTTAGATAAAAGTATGGTATAACATTTGGTAAAAAAATGTTATAGTGTCAATTTTATTGAATTCTGTTCACTAATTTTTCTTATTTATGAGCAAATGTGTTTTCTTGATATGTCTATATCTCTAAAACCGCATGTTCGATTTGACCCAAATTTGGAGGGAAGTTAGAGATTGGTAAACAGATAATCAAGCATGAATACAACTAAACAAATACAAAAAAACTTCCGCTTTCAGATCTAGAAATGTATTATTTGACATGTCTTTAGTTTGAAAACTGCGCGTTCAAATTGACTCAAACTTGGAGAATAGTATGGAAATTACAAAGTATCAATTTCATTATATTCCATTTAATAATTAAAATTAATATAAATAATTGTTAACAATATAATGGCTGTGAAATGTGGAAGGCATAGATCATCTAGATCAGGAGGAGTTAGGTTAACAATATTTTTTTATGGGGTTATAAAATTTTAGGTTTTATTCAAAAAGTTAATTTATACTGTATTGTTTGGTCAATTCCAAATGTTACTGGCATGACACTTACTGCCGTTTTTAGATTTCATGTAATTTGCAGTGAATTTAAATTAATTTTTGCTCTGAGTTTAGGAAAAAAAAAAAAACCTGATTTGGGTTTGTGTTTATTTCTAGTTCAACCAGCTCATCATGGTCTCGATATTCTCCTTAAATATCAAAGTTTTGTGAATTTCACGCATATTTTTATATTCCAGCATAATTAGTTTTGTTCTGAATGAAGAAAATTATTGGTCTCATTAATTCTGAATAAACAAAAAGTTAAATTTTCTCAATGGATTTTTTGTTCCATCCAATTTGGGAATGAAAACATAGCTATTAAGTATATATCACTACTGTTAGTGTAAAAGGTCTTATGTAAAATTTTTTAACTTTTATTCTATTTGTGCTAAGGTGATACATTGTAGTCTGCAACTGATATAAGCAGTCTGCTACTGTGCAAAATAGAGGTCAGTAAAATATGAAATCATAGTACTAAACCATAAAGAAATAATTAGTTTTGACAATCTCCTGTAAAACATTCAATTTTGACATGCGAACTTTTGCACTAACAATAGTGATATGTTTGTTCAGTAGGCACTGGATTTTTTTTTTAATCACTAATGATCAATTATGCAATCTGCAAATGTGGAACTCTTTCACATTATAGTATTCGCTCATGAACAAAACTCGTGGATATCAAACCCGTGTAATGTTGAGGGATTACTGAATTTCCAAAAACAGATTCTCCTTGAGATTTTATTCTCATACGAAAAATTTTAGATCTTGTAATACAGATATTTTATAGCCAATGAAAACAGTGAGAAGCTATACTGGTCTTAGTGGCTGACATTTTTTTTCTTATTTTCCACAACAATTTTTTTTAAAAATCTGATGTATAATAACCTAAAAATCTGCGAAAGGCAAAGCCAAAAATTAATAACCTAGATTGTGTTTAAAATTATAATTTTTTTTCCCCCCAGCTTCTAAGGCACATTGGCAAAGACCCTCGGACAAAGATGTATCGTTCTTTAGAGTAGTATCACCAAAAAAGTTTCATTGAAATTGCTGATCCCACGCCTGTAAACTCCCCTTGTTAATAACTTTTTCTAACAAAACGATAATATGTTGTTTATATATAAAGCTTGATTAAATTAATTGTAAATAATTAGCATTAAGAGGTAATTTTAATTAAAGGTTTCAACTACAATTAAAGTAATTGAAAAAAGCAACAGGATATGTAATTAAATACTCATATAATTAATTACTTCCCAAAAATGTTCTTATCCTACCACTTTCAAATCCATCTTTGACCATTTTTTTATTTATTCGATTCCAAGCCAGATAGACTCAGTCTGACAGCAGGGCATGAAATACAAATATTGTTAAATCTATTTTGATTTGATTTTTTCTCAATCAGAACTGAATATGAATTATTTTTTAATTTATTCTATTCTATTCTTTAATTTAAATAGACTGCCTTTGTGAACTGTTCATTATGATTGAGAAATGGAGATGGATGCAAAAGTGTCCTCCATAAAATTTTTCAGAATTCAAATCTTTATAACTTTAAATAAAAATGACTTTTTTTTGTGCCACTGAAAATCTTTTATGAAACTTACTTTCGATTTTATTGGTGAAGAAAACATATCATCTGAATCTGAATCTCCATCAGAACTCTTCTTTTTCGGTCGTTTGGTTGTTTTCTTTTCAGCAGGTTTCTTCTTTTCGCTTGACATCGCTCTTTTAACTGGTGCTTTCTTTTCTGTAGCTGGTTTCTTGGGTTTTGCAGCTTTTTTGGCTGAAAAAAAAAAGTAATAAAAATGCTTTATTTCAGATATAAATTTTATATTTCAAGGAAAACATTTGAACAAAAAAAAATTTAAATACCTTTGGGCTTGGCATCACCACCAGACTCATCATCAGTAGCAGCAGCATTCTTTTTGCCTTTGTTATTGAGTAGGCTATCGAACAAGTCCTCAGCTGACTCTTCCAAATTTTCTTTACCTAAACAAAAAAAATACATGGTTTTGACAACTAAAATATATGAAATCTTACTATGCAAGAGCAACTATGTTAACAATATCAGGATTACTATATTAAAATCCTATTTACCTACAGGCACGTATACACAACTTCAACATAGCTTAACAGATAAAACTACAAAATATCTAATAAATACAGACATTATTTTAAATAACACTTACTTGTAGCCTTAGAATGAAGTCCCAAGTCGTCATCACTACTTTCAGCAGCAGAAGAGAATACTTTAATTTCTTCGTTCTTTGGCTCTTTCTTCTTTTTCCTATATTATTAAGTTATAATTAATTATAGTGAATAAATTTGTTTAAACCAATGACCAACCTATCAGAAATTATTTTGTCTGTCCACAATAAGAATGGAAATGGGCAGGCCATATGGTAACATAAGTAAGATGAGGAAGGAAGAAAAAGGGAGTAAACAAAAAATGCCTTACTGAATTGTATGAAATACTGGTAAAACAAAATTACGGGAGAAAACTAAATAACTAAGGTTTATATTCACTATTTTAATAATTATTGAAGGTTACAATTTAAATCGCAGCAATAACTATGTTTTTCAGCAATAAGTTTTCAAAAAATTCCAAGCATTTCTGATGGACTTGATGAAAGTTCCTCATTATACCCTCACTTTTTCAAAATAATAAAATCTCCTGACCTTTCCGAGTTTTCCATTAACAAGATCAGATTTTATAATCAACATATTTATGATATTTTCAGGACTCCAGTCAAGTAATAATAAAAAAATATATCATCATCGCTATTAACAAACTACTAGATAACTTGTAATTGGCTTTATGGACAAACAGACTAGATATAAGATGTTTTATAATATTTATGCTAGGAATGAAGAAATCCATACAAACATATATCCAACAATTTTTGTTATTTCCATTTAATTAATCCCTTTAATTTTGAGATGCATTTATAATAAATTATGAAAACTAGAAGAAAATACTTACACTGCCACATCTTCTTCATCATCAGAGAACACACTGCCATTCTTCTTAACGGACTTGAAAGACTCAACAGAATTGTCATCATCTTCAAAATTGAACTTGACATTGGAAGCTAGAAAAGATATTTATTCGTTATTGTTATTCAACAACCTTTGGACAGATAATTATTTGTTATTTACAGACAATATGCATTATCTATTATTCATTATTAAAGACAAAAATATGATTCGAATATTCTTTTTTGTAATTTTAAGGAGTTCTTCGATATTTAGGTCTGTTTATGTTTTTGGAGTCAGCCAGTGCCTTTGACTTATTTGATTTTTTTGGATTTCTTCGATAAGAGAGTCTATATGTTTTCGGAGCTGTAGTTTTCGAAAATTGAGTTCATTTTATGATTACGCCACTGCATTTGTATATTTCGTAGTTATTTAATTCTATTTATTTAATAGTTAGTTCATCATGTTTATTAAAAAAAGAAAGTAATGATCTCAAAATCATTTGAAAATGTCATTTTCATGATTACTTGTGATCTCGTATACGCTGAAAAAAAAGAAAATTTTATCTTTTACATTTAAAATTTATTGCAGGGATTCATAAACACTATTCCATCTAGAATAAACTGGACGTTTAAGGCTTTAACCTAATATTTCTTGAATATTTTCCACAAACATTTCTATAAAACCCAGTGGCTTATTCTTAAAATGGAAATCATTTCCAAAATCTACAGCTCTGTAAGCATAATTGGATCCTTATATAGTACAAATTAGAAAAACTTGAATAAGTTGGACCGCAGTGGTGTAATCATAAAAAGGACACCATTTTCGAAAACCACAGCTCTGAAAAGATATAAATAGATCCTCATATTAAAGAAGTCCGAAAAACTCAAATAAGTCGCAACGCAGTGGCGTAATCTCAAAATGGATATCATTTTAAAAAACTAGGCTCCGAAAATTTACAAACAGATCTAAATATCGAAGATATCCAAAAAAGTCGCAACGCAGTGGCGTAAACTCAAAATGGACATCATTTTCAAAACCAACGGCTCCGAAAACATATAAATTGACTCTCATATGAAATAAATCCGAATAACTCAAATAAGTCACAACGCAGTGGTGTAATCTCAAAATGGTGATCATTTAAAAAAAACTATGGATCCGAAAATACATAAATAGGCCCTTATATCGAAGAAAAATAAAATTAGCAACAAATTATTCAAAATTAATTTGAAAAATTCTAATAACAAATAAAAAGATAATAGATAACTTGAATTTATTCATTATCTAGATAAAAGATAAACAGAATTATTCGTTATTTGTAGTTGAAAGTTTGAATAAATTATTCGTTATCTATTATTTAAGGTAAATTTTGCCCATCACTGTATAATAGTACTAATTTATAAGATAATGTGCATTTCACTGTTACATAATCAGTAAAAATTACCAGCTTGTCTCCTTGGTCCTCTTCTGATGGGCGAATCTTCTGTAACTCTGGAAGAAGTATGAAATTCTTCATCACCATCATCATCTTCAGATTCACTATCTGTCCAAGGAGATTTCTTTTTCCCTTTACTTTTCCCAAAGTTCAACTTGGTTTGTTTCATTTCTGAAAAACATAAGGAAGTCAATATAAAACAAGTAAACCTTGTTGATTTAATTTAATCAAAATCAATTTTATTTCAGCTTGGGCATATGGCTGAAGGCAAAAAGCAGTGATATTAAAATGAATTAAGAACTATTGGTAACTTTTATGAATTTTATCATTGGGCTTCTTCTAACTCTAGGGGACATTGGATCAATTGTCACTCAATCAAACCCGGGTTATTAAAATTATTTATGATAATTGTAATAAATTAAATTTTGTATTTATCTTCCACTGAATGATTTGAAACCATTGACAAGCATTCATTTAAATGTAAATATAAAATTAATTTTTGATAAGAGATAGGACAGAAACCTTATTTAAAAATTTGGCAAGCTTAATCTATTTATTATTATTATTACTAAATTAAAAAGTAGACAGATTGGAACCAAAACTAAAAAATATATCTAATAAAAATGGTGTACATAATTTATTAACAAAAAAAAAATAATAATAATAATAAATATTTACCTTTCTTCTTCTCCTTCATTTTCTTTTCAATTAGATTAGGTGAATTCCCAACTCTTGAAGCTACGGACTTCTGGGCTCCTTCTTCGATCATATCAAACTCATCTTTATCACCATCTTTGTCTTTAGGCTTTCCTCTCTATAAAAGAAAATTTTTAAATTTAAATTAAGTCTTCTTTACAATGTCATAACATTTTTCAAAAATTTTCAGAAGTGTTGAAATTGTTTAGAGCAGAAAATATAATTGTTTACAACTTATTCATTACATTAGTTATAATATATATATATATATATATATATATATATATATATATATATATATATATAAAGTAAGATTTTTCTTTTAATTTATAAGAAGTTATTCAACTTTGATCAATAAAATTTATATAAGAGAAAAAAAGGTTTTGCTACTTAAAACAAATAATTTACAAACATAAGACTATATGACTTACCCCAGTTAGACCTTTCAGCTTACGGTCCTTCAATCGGGTAGCTGCTTCTGCCTTCTTTTTGATATCAGCTCCGATTTCTGGAGCTATCCTCCGAGCAGTGGGTGATGGGAAGGTGTCTGCTTGTGGGGCTCCTCCTTTCTTTTTTCTACCTTTCTCCTTCCCGCTGCTTCCAACTTGAAGAGAGGCCATTTCTTCCTGCTTTTCTTTTTCTTCCACCTCATCCAACTATAATTTCATAATTAAAAATAAATAATTAATTTCAAAGTGAAATAGTGTGATAGGTGAAAAAAAAAATCTTTTCAAAACATGGCATGGTACTTCTAGTAATGTAATTGAAAATTATAAATTCAGAACAAAATTAAAGTAGCATAAAATAAATATCAAGTTAGAAACAATTTCACTTGACTACTAGAACAGAGAGAACTAAAAATTATAATTATAAATCTAACAGGTAAAATAATGTTCTGATTTTTTTATTCAAGACATCCATTTCCACAATATCCGCTCTGAGTCTTCATATGTGTATACAACGGCCTACAGAAGCTCTGCTTTTAAACAGATATTTCATTACTCGATTCTCATCCCAGTGGAATTCTATACCTTCCTACATCCGTCTCTCCAATACCCTCCCCGCCTTCAAATCCCACTTGTTCAATCATTGCCAAACCATTCCGATACCTAACCTAAAATTGTAAACTGTAAATATGTATCTGTATATGTATGTATACATTATTAGTTCATTGTATTACTTTTAACTGACTTATCTTTAATTTCTTCTTCGTTTTCTTAATTGATTGAAGTTAAAGGAATCTTATACTTATTTATTTATAATGTATAATTATTTAATTTAAGATTATTCTGTTATGCTCTAAAGTCCATATTTTCATCTTTGTATAGTATTCAAAAGGAACTTGCCCCGGAATATAAATAAAAAATTATTATTATTTCATGTCAGTAATAATAAGTGCATGTCTACTTAGCATAAAGAAAACAGGACTGATTAATGAACACAAATAAAACACCAACATTTACCTTTTCTGATAATACTTGTAGATCGTCCATCCAAAGTTCACCAGGTGTTTTCATCTTGAGAGCTTCCAGTTCTGCAACCTTGGCATTCTTCTTGTTGATTAATTCTTCCTTCTTTTCAAGGGTAAGTGACCACATGGTCATACCAAGTAAATAATCAAAGTCAGGAGCTCCTTCAGCCACTGCAACAGAGGCAGCTGCAGCAGCAGCTTCTTCATCAGCTGGGACGTCTTTTTCTTCTTCATCCTTTAAAAGTAAGTGTAAAAGTTAATCTCCTATTGTATAAATAACACAGAAACACATAAAGAATCTATTAACTAAGTGTTCATAGAATCAAATATTATTATTTCATTTGACTAAGAACTTTCATAATAGTTATATAATAGATATAGTTTTAATAAGTAAAATTGATATTTTAATGGAAGAATATCAATAATCAATGTCATGAAACTTCAAGATATCACATTGCCTGTTCAGATATATTTGAGGGTGAGGATCTTACCAGCGAAAAATACTGTCGTGACATTTGGTATCTGATGAGTAAGTGATCAATTTTTAGGGAAATAATACACTATAACTTATATAAAACAGTCAAGGAACTAAAACCATTATTGAATTTTGACGAACCTCCTTGGGATCACAAATATACAAAATCTTATTATGGTTAGACTATATTAAGAATTTTAATTGAGTTTTAAAAGTTTTTGTTAAATCTATTAAGTGGTAGGTTAGCAGGTCAAAGATATCGCTTTAGTGACCTATTAATTATCCGATTATAATTATTATCTTAAATTTAATGTTTTATTTTTTTTTAATTTGTTTATTTTTTTTCAGTTGGCACTACAGAATAAACAAAGCAGTGTACCTCCTAACTCTATCTACATACGGAACTGAAAGTTCGTTCATAGCAAGAGGCCCCGAGGTAGTCCAAGAATCCTATATGAGAAGTATGTACAGAGAATAGGAGCAAGCAGAGGAAAATGGGTTGGTGTAGAAGGGCCTCAATCTAACAGATCTACTAGACCAGGTCCTAACACATCCTCTTCATATGAGCCATTTTATCTCTGCTTGCTTCTATTCTTTCTACATACCTCTCATAAAGGATCCTTGGACTACCTTAGGGCCTCACATAATGACCAAACTTTTATTTTCATATGTAAGCATAGCGTTAGGAAATACACTGCTTTGTAAATGTGAAGCTTAGTTGTAGCCTACCATTCAAGAGCTTCTCCGTCATATAGCATATGTATGCCTTCACATTCAAGCCTAAACACAGCATGCATGTCCCATCTATAAATTAATGTAGAGGATGTCCTGCTGCATATCTTATACATAATACATACAAATAGAAGAGGACAAAGCCTGATGTTCTATCTGATTTCTTTATTATCCTTCTGGAACATAGCCACCTCTTTTCCATTAATACAAAATATTTTCCCAAAATAATACTGCATTTCCTCTGCCAGCTTCCCAAAACTAGACCAGTACAGCCTTCTTTATTTCACCATGCCTCCAAATTTAAACACTTAAATAGTACTTGTATCATGCACAACACAATGGGTGCTGTAGTTTATCTGCCTAAAGAATGTAATGCCATACATGTAAGAAATAGCTTAATCTATGATCTCCAAGAGCACAGCACTTCTAATCTGTACTCTTTATTTATTTCAAAGCAGATGAAAAAAATTATGTTTGTATTTTCTTGTTGCACATTTCAAACTCAGATGTTAGTTAAAAATAACCATTAAGGCCCTTTTAAACAAGCACTTAAGTTTCTCATCCAGTTTGTTGGATGGACTGATTCTTCGGTGAAGAGCCTTAATCCCAAAAAGATTTCATTAGATGGCAGAACCAAATTGATCCCACATGATGAATATTTTTGAAGAAACTATAGCATGTACCTAGTGTTCAGGAAATATACTACACTTTGAAGCATGCTCTGTATCTTACCAATATTCTATTGTGTTATTGACAATGTGAATATAAAATAAAAACTATTTTTCATATTACACTACCAAACAATTTGGAACTAGTTTTAACAAAATTTTCAGGAAAATTCATTCTTGTTAATAAGGATCCAACTAAAAACATCTTACCATATTTCCTTGTTTGACCTGCTGCGCTTTCCAAGTTTTTACAGGGTCAGAGGCATAACCATTCTTTACTAATTCATCAATCATTTTAGCCTTTTTCTTGTTTTCAATTATCAGTGTACCATTACACTTTTCAACAATGAATCTATTGAAAAAAAAAAATAGCTGTTAGTGACGAAGAAATAGAAGTATAATGAATATTAAATGTGAGATATTTTTAATATAATCTTGATGAAAATTAAATTAAATTTAATTTGAAGAACAGCCTTTTATATATCCATCAGTAAAAGTCAAGTCCTTATATTAGACGTTAGTTAAAACAATTATTACAGAGAGATTCTGAGATTAAATTAAAAAATGTGTTGAATGGTAGGATACTTTATACAAAAGTTTTAAAGTAACTATCAATATCTCAATGTCGATTCGAGAGATATCACTACCAATAAATTGACACTTACCAAGTACTCAAAATACTAGAAGAAACCTTGCAAATGAATAAAACCAATTAAAGGAGATTTTAGGGGTCAACAACAACAGCTAAATATCAGTTATATTTCACTGCTTTGTAAAATATAACTGAAAAGGTCAACTTACAACGAATGAACCAGAAAAGATAACTGTATTAAATATTTTGTACCTTGCTTGGTTTGAGAGTTTGGCAGCTTCTGCCTCAAGGACTCCTTCAAGGTAAGCTTTACGTTTTGAATAATACACAAGTCTTAAATCAAAAAATTCCTTCATTATGTCTAAAACTGCATCGTACCGCTTCAAGCAGAGATCTTTATCAAAAGCAACCTGAAAAAAATTGTAATGAATAAAGTTAGAAATAAGAAATTACTAAGTTAAATCACAAATAGGATAATAGTAAAGAAATGAAGTGAGATATATTTGAATCTTCAGAACAGTAATAAATTTGAAATATAAATGGCATAATTATTTTTCGAAACTTTATGCAATCCAAAATAATAAAAGTTATGTGTTTTTCAGAATGTCTATTGAAGTGCTTAATAATATTCCAATGTTTAAATTACAAATCTCTAAAAAAACTTATATTTACTCATACATTAACCGACAAAAATACTAAACAATTAAAATAGAAGTGGAATATTCCAGGGAAAAAGTTTATTAAGAATAATCAATGTGTACTGGAAAAGAAGATATAACTTCTGCTTCTGATCAACATACTACTTCAAGTCAAAAATTCATTACATTAATAAATAAAAAAATTGGTGATTTCTGGTCAGAGCCATTTTTGAGAAAATGTATAAAATCAAAAATATAAAAAATGTAGTTAAGTCAGGATTAACAGTCTAAATGTATTTATTCTAGATGTTGAAATTTCAACAAAAGAAAGTGGTTCACCATAAGCGCAAATGGTTTGCCATCTATTTGACTACGATCAGTTTTTGGCTACGTCAGATGGTGACTCATTGTTCTGATGATGACTCCTCATGGGGTTAAAACATCAACAACTAGAATAAATAAATTTAAAAAAAAAAACTCAACGAAAATCCAAAGTTACATATTATCATGGAGCATTTTCTTGTATTAATTTACTTGTATGTACTTACCATAGAAGAAAGAGAAATAGTCGTTTGCAATTTGAAAACTTTATGGAGACCTTCATGCTCTGCAGCAGCCAATTTATCATTCGACATAGTAACAATAAATCTGACTGTTGTATCTGTATTATACTCTTTATAATCACTGAAAAAGTAATTCAAAAATTAATTTCATATTGTAAATCACAAAAGAATAAAATATAAAAAAGTAATTCTCATAAATAGAACTAAAAAAAAAAGAAAGAAAAGAAATTTTGCTCATATGTATAAATTTCACAAAAGAGAAAAATACATCAGATAATCTCATAAATTAGAAGGAAAAGACATTTTTAGAAGATACGTTATTAATTTCTTAATATTGTTCTTAAATATCAAACATTGTGATTTACTACTGCACCAAGTAACTAAAAATCATCCGGTTTCTAAGAATATTAATTATAGTTTCCTCATGATTTTTTGATAATGTAAGAACTCAAATATCTATTATTTCACAACTAATTCTAAATTTCAAGTAACTGTAATTAGAAACAGCGGAGTATAGAAGTGTTAGACAACCGAATAAATCACTTTCCTAACTAAATAATAAAACTCATACACTAAGATTATTAATTATAATCTATTTTTGATTGTCTAATGGTTAACAGTTGAATAAACTTAAAAATGATTGTCAAACAGTTGAACAATTGCTATACATCATAAAAGTTGTCATAATGGAACTTCATAGAAGATTTTACCATAGTTTACAAAATATTTAGTTTCATAGTTGTAATCTAGAGTGCTACCAGAGGGAAGTTTCTCAACAAGCATTTTCATGTGATTACATTCCTATGTACACATTTACTAAATGTATCTTTATGTTAATACAGTTGTAAATATCATGAATAAATGAATAAAAAAAAGTTCTAAAACTCACACTCACTCGATTACATAACATTAGTATAATACAGTAAAAATTGACTGATAGTCAAGGGAAATATATTATTAGTTGATTGTCTGAAATAGAATGTTATTTTTAAATAGAAAGTGTATCTAAAAAAACAAAAAATGTCCTTACGTAATCATAGCAGGCTGTTTATCTGTTCCATTCAACATGGGTTCGAGAACAGACTCCTTGTAATGATGAGTTCCACAGCCAACTGGAAGTTCAGAAATTTCTATCCTATCATCCTGAAGAACTCCAATTTCTCCAGATATCACATAACGTGAGTCCAATAAAGCCTCAATATCACCTCTGAAGTTTTTATAAAACGGTTTCTAAAAGAAAAATTACCATTTAACATTTATGAATTCTAATAATCACAGGTAAATTATAATACTATTATTTACAATATATACTACAGATAATATAACTATTAAAATGTTAAGCTGGTAGGATTATCATACATTGGGAACTGAAAGTGAAAATCATAGGCAGTGTAATATATTATGTGTAATATATAATATAATATAATGTAATATATTATTTAAGTGTAATATATTATACATACAAAAAGTTTATATCCGTTTAAAATTAAAATTTTCACAATCGCAATACTCTCACTTACTGTTTATTAAAGTAGTTAAATTAAAAAGATCCAGAATAAATGAATAGGACATGTAGAAAGAATATTTGATTAAATAATGTCAAAGAGGATGTTCTAATCGCAAAGAAAAACTAATTGCAAGAGAATGCCCTCCAATCAGATTAATGGAATACGATCTGAGACGGCTGGGCATTCAAAGATACAAGGAAAAAGTACAAGATCGTGGATATTGCTTTGTTTTTGAGCAGGAAGCCCTGGTTCTTGCAGGACCGTAGTGCCATAATAATACCAATGATGGGGAATAAATACATTTTGGTTAACTAATTTTTTTCATTTGGCTTCTGAATTAGTGATTCATTTACACAAATAAAAAAAATCATTCTATATTTCTAGAGAATAAATGGATGTTGTTAGAATAAACGGATGGAGTAAAATTAAGTTATGGCACTATTACCAAAAAGTAGAGCTGGAATATTTTCAATAAGTTTTTCTCCTGATTTGTTCTGTATAATGAACACATTGTTCAGGTGAAAAAAAATCCTAAAAGATTTATATTTTTAAAATTAAAATATAACTTTATGCACTCTGTGAAAATTTTAAATGTTAAATAATAAGTTTCTCTTCATGATAAAAATTAGATGGACCATAATAAACCATGGGATTAAAATAATATTTAATTAATACAATTATAATTATCCAAACACTAACCAATGGGATAAGTGGTTCTGTATTGGTTATCATTTTTCTTATATTCTCTATGAGCTCTCGAGGATTATAATTGGGAATCTTCGTCATCCAACCAGTACCAATACCATCAGCTCCATTAATTAACACCATGGGAATAATTGGAATGTACCACACAGGTTCAATGCGTTGATTGTCATCCTTCTGATATTTTAACAAAGGGTCATCATGAGGATGAAAAATTAATCTTGTTAATGGGCTGAAAAAATAAAAAAATAAAATTGTACCAAAAGTTATACAGATGAAATTTTACAGTCAGCCTCAGTAATCACAAAATTCGAAATACAACTGTAATATAAACAATTAAAAATTTACCTGAGCATTGTAAAAATATATCTGGGCGAGGCAGCATCTTTACCCATATGCAGTCGAGTACCAAACTGACCAATAGGCTGCAGTAGGTTAATATTATTAGAACCAACGTAGTTCTGAGCCAAATTTATGATGACAGACATCAATGACTGTTCACCGTGGTGGTATGCTGATAATTCAGCAACTGAACCAGCAAGTTGAGCAACTTTGACTTCTCTTTTGTCATTTCTTTTCAGGCATGTAAACAACACCTAATAAAAAATTATTATTTAAGCATAGACAAATTGATAAAAACATTAATTAAAAATGTATATCCAAGTATTAATCATTAATTTAAAATAAAAACATCTGTTTAAGAGTTCTTTCAGAAATCTAAGTTATAAATAATTTTTAAATTATCCTTCTACAAAACTGCTACCAAATATTTAACCTACCTTTCTTGAACCTGGTTTTAATCCATCAACCATATTAGGTATGGATCGTTCATTGTCCATGTTTGAAAAGAGAACCAGCTCTTTGTTAATAAAATCTTTATAAGTAATAGATTTGGTATCTTTGGTATACAGGTATTCTTCATTTAAACCTAATTCTTTTCGTCTCTTCCTCTCGACCATCCAATTAGTCAACCATTCCTTCCTCTGTTCGACGCATTTTTTACTGAATGCCTAGAAATGATTAATTATTAATGGTATTAATGACTATTTAACCATATTCAGTTAGTTGATAAATTACGATTAGTAAAAGTTATATCTACCATTATAATATGTTGATCACATTCTGGTCCACTGTATTTAAACGTAATTCGGTGGCGGTCCATATTACTAAAATATTCCTTCGCCTCTTTTGAGGTCGAAGTACCCAAACCTAAGAAAAACAAATATACCAATATAGTTAGCAATAAACGTTGATAAGTCAAGTTAAATTTGTTACACCGAAATAATAACTATTAACATTCGAACAATTCTCTCATATGAACTGGAGAGTAAATATTAATTTTCTAGTAATCATTATGCTAAGAAGTATTCAGCCCTGAAAGACCTTGTGGCTTAATATATATTAAATTATCAATTATTATAATGAAAAAGAATTTTTTTTTTTTTTTATAAAACAAAAATATTATCAAATTTGAAAAGCTTGGTTAAGTGGTATAAATTAAACTGGTGAAATGAGGCCAAGAAAATAAAAAGATAAAGATAGGACTATGTTTTATGTTCATAAAAATAATAAATAAACAGAGAACTTGCAACACTACAATCCATTAGGGGCTTTGGCCTTGGGTCTAATACTTAGTAAGGGAGTACTGTTTCTAAGTCAACGATGTGATAAGATCAATACCACATTTAACTACCCGATGTTCCCAATTCATTTAATCAAGGTACGGCACTAAACAGAAGCTGGGTGTGTTCTGTGAGGGTCTCTTGACCCCAGGATCAATTCATGACTGATGTCACAGAATAAATTATTACTTGCTGCAACCAGACTCAGTCTGGGACAGAGAAAAGAGCACATCACCTTAGCCGCCAAGCTACCCTGCTTCCATGGCTAAGATTAAACTAGGGAAATGAGAGCAACTTTTGCATTTTCCACTGATTTGCATCCAGAGAAAAAAAATCATGGAAATGCTGATTGTATAGACAAAATTAAATAAATAAGCAAAGGGCAAGCCACTCATAAATAACCTGAGAACTCACTCAAAGGAAATGACTTTTAAGGTGAAAAAGTAAAGTTCAAACAATTAATTTTCATCTTAATTGTTACATCTTATCACTCCCTTGCCTATAGAGAACTAAACAACTAATATTGTTGTAAAATTATTCACACAATCTGTAGACTAAAAATAAAATTACAGAGTAAAAGGAGCCTAAAATCCACTAATGCCATGCCATAAATGCAAAGGTATCTTAAGAGTAAATTCAGAAAATAAAAACCTTTGTAGTATTTTATTCTATAAGTGTGCGCATTAGGTGTTCCGTTTTTCCATTCTTCGAACTCTGGGATAGAAAAGAAAGAATACTCCTCATTCTTTTTCGTAGCTTTTACAATTGGAGTAATGAAAACCTCGAGGAAAGGCATCTTTATAAGTGATGGCCAGTTGTGATGTATGAAGTTGACAATCAGACCTTTAATATGTGAGCCATCCTGAAATTTTCATAAGGAAATATAATTAATAAACAAAGTTAAAAAAACAAAACAATTAAAATATAAATCAATGAAACAGAACAAAAGTGATTCAATAAAATATTTGATTACTACTACTAAACTAAACAGAACTGTATAATTTATTTAAATCTATTAAATATAGTATTCTGACCTGATCCTGATCTGTCATTATCATTAATTTCCCATATCGAAGTGTTTGTAGATCTTCTCTGGTTTCATACTTCTTTTTATATTGCAATCCCATAATTTTGATAATATTGTTTATTTCAGCATTTTCAATAATCTGAAAGAAAAAAAATAATATTTATATAAGACAAATTTAAATCAGAGTGGTTACCAAATTGTTAAGAGCAAAATTCCCTGACTTTTCTCTATTTAATGAAAGTTTTCCCCCAATATGTTTATGTATATGTTTTTGTGTCCCCCAATATGTATTTGTGTCCTTTGACACAAATGTTAAAATTTGTATAGTTTATAACTAACTATACATATATAGCTTATAACTAATTCATTTATTATACATGATTGAAAATTGAAAGATTGGAGCAAACAAAAGTCAGTTCAGTCTTTTAAATAACAATTATAATGTTCTTTTAAACTTGATTAGCATTTTTTATTCATTTTAATTTTAGAAAACTAATTTTCTTTTTTTTTTTCTACCTCCCAGGAATTTCTTGATTACAAATACAATATATATATAAATATTATATATACATAAATTTTTCAATTTCCTTTTATTGCCCAAGGGCATATTAAGGTAAGAGGGCTCTGCACGCTGTATGCGTTCTTTGCATCTGTGGCCAGAGGCCTTTTATTATATCACTGGGCGTGGAGGGACCGCCCTGAAGAAAACTAAAGTAATTTATTTTTAATGCCTTTATTTTATTTTCATATAGTGAGATGATATAAAAGATGATACTTGACCCATTTCTTTATTATAAAATAAAGTGAGCTGTTTAGTTTTTATTTGTAAAACCAATATTTATTGACCAAGAGCTTTCAAAATTTATTCATTTATCATAAATTTAATACAGAATCCGCTGATACCGTAAGTTTTAACATTATAATTTTTCTTCGTGTATAAAAAAGTTCTAGGGATGTTGAAGAGAGATAATATAGTACAAAAAGTGTGATTGGAACATATTCATTTAAAGAGTTTTTTCCACTTCTGAACCACTGTGAGTAGTCGTTATAACAATTATATGTTTATAGCAACTAAGTTTACCAGGTCCTTTAAGGTCGTTATAAATGACATCCACTGTATATTAATTCCAATTTGAAAAAAATATTTTCGAACTAAAAAAATTCCCTGACTAACAATTTTCCAGATTCGTCACCACCCTGATTACCATCATGCTGACATATTCAACCCAATTTTTTAACGAATTGACGTCCGACCGGACTTAGCATTTTAAGGTTAACTATTGTTCTAATGGGTGTTCGTCTAGAAACAGAATTACCATTAAGAAGCTCATTATCTTACACAAAAAATAGATATGTCCATAGATGTATACATTACAGATAGTAAATAGTAGAGGTATGTTTTTCTTTTCAAAAAAGCATTGTTTTAAATCCATTTTGCTTACATTTGGTACGTTACACTTGTTTAATTTCAATATAACGGCAAGGGGCGTTTTCGACAGTGACAGGGGGATAGATACAGCGACCGTCACACGTTTATAAAAACGAAGTTTACCAGGTCCCTTTAAGTCTTTATAAACAACATCCACTGAATATTTAGTCTAATTTGAAAAAAAATATTTACAAACTAAAAAAAGTCTCTGACTTTTTCTATTGTTTCAGGTCAGTCGCCACCCTGTAAATGTATATGGTCAATGATATTTAAGACAAAATTAAATATCTAAGTTAATAAATTAGAATATTTTAAAATAAATTATAAGAGAACAGTATTAAATCCAAAATGAAATTATGTTAATATTGTAATGAATACTGTGTAAAAGTGATTAAAAGTATTTATTTAGAAATGGTTAAAATAACTCATCTTATCTAGTAGGGTTAGCAATGACCATTAATAATAATTATCCATGTTATTATTGACATATAACGTCTTTCCAAAAGTCTAATCTTTAATCTTTTAGAAAATTAAAATAGTTAATCCATTAAGGGAAATAACATAAATAAAGTACAATCTCCCGTGCTGATTAGTAACATAACCAATATTGATTTTGCATTTACTCTAGAGTTCCTTACTACAACAGGATTTTTTTTTTTAATTCTTATAATATATCTACTCTATAGAATTGGGCTTGATCCATTTTGAATGAAATCAATAAAGGGATATTTATTAAATTTATTTCATACAGAGTTAAAACAAGAGCCAACAATTTACAATTTAAAGGATTAAAAAAAAATCTTAACAATAACAAATGGGTACTCAGAAACCCCGATCTATTTGTTTTTCCCCAAGAAAAGCATTAATTACAACATTACCTGCTTGTGAGTTGCTTCTCGGACATTTAGTAGTTTACCCCTCAGAGGGAAAACTCCGTACTTGTCTCTGCCAATAACACCCAACCCAGACATTACTAAAGCCTTGGCTGAGTCTCCCTCTGTTAGGATGAGAGTGCAAGAAAGTGAATTCTTAGAACCAGCATCGTTAGCATCTTCTAACTTCGGTATACCTATCAACATACCAAATGATTAGTAAATTCTTTGATAAAAAAAAAAAACATCAAAAAATGTATTAATTTCTACGATTTAAAATAAAATTAAAAGCTATTAAAACTGAAGGAACAGTAATACAACAAGAGAGATATGCCAGAAGATCGATGGCAAATCAAGCCACATAAAAAAAATTAAACCAAAAGAAAAAATGACCAAACCGCCACCTGGATACCTTTCTTTATGCCAGAATCCAAAGAAGACAAAAGAGAAAAAAAGGTGGCAGTGTGGCAACTCTTTGTTCTCTTGGATTTGTTTTGTGACTCGCTTAGTTAAGCCAGATTATATAATGATAAGAAACCATAAAAAATAAAAACCAATAGAAATTACAGCACTGAGAAATTCAAGACTGCTGGACATTCTGATAAGAGCAATATAACCATACCTTATAGATAATTCTGAGAAAATAATGAATTCTGATCACCCATGATTCTGGTCTCTCTGACTTCAACCCTCAAGGGCAGCAAACCGAAAAATATATTGTAAAAAAGATCAGTCTAAATTGGTTGAAATTGAAAATTTGAGCTATGAAACCTTTAGAGATATGTCCTAGTCAAATACTAAGCAAGCGCTATGAGGATTACTCCTACAGAAAAGCATGAGGGTGTCCAATATCAATTTTAAATAAAACTTATTGAACAACTACTACTATGACATCAACTTTCTTCTCAATATATTATTATAAAATAATATTAATAACAAGAAACGGAATTATTAGTAAAATAAATTAAAAATTCCCGTTGACAGGCTGTTTTTTAACTATTATTCCCGTTCTTTTACCATCACAAAAAATTGTAAGTATAGTTCCCTATCTTCAAAGAATTGAAGGATGGACACTCTTCATTTGTATTTCTTAAATTAATTTAGTTCAGCCTGATAGACAATGTTGGTTTCCATTAACAAAAAACAAAAGAATTGTTTTGTTTTTTTCAATGGATTTTTGTTCTAAACATTATATGAGTTAAAACATACTTAATGAGAAAATATATATGCTCAGTTCGTACATACATTTTGTACTTGGAATTCTTTAAATAGAGATTTATTTAGTTTTTTTGTATGCTTTTACTTGAATAGATAAGTATGCTATTTGCGAACATGGAATATTAGTTAATTACCAAACCTCTAAATGTTGAAAGATAACTATACAAAATAAGTTAGTCTATTTTTAAAATAACTAATAAACATGGTTAATAGCAAAAATTGTGTGACAGACTACCTAGGTCTAATTTGCAAGAACATGACCTACCTCAATATGTAATAGGTTGCAAAGATATGTAGTATACGAAACCACATTACAAATTTTTTTTTTTTAATTTAAGATAAATTGTACCATTCATAATCATGCTACAAAAATTTTTAAATTGTATTTTTTTTCTTTAAAGAAATATATTCACTCATTGATCGCATTACAACATAAATATTTATGACAACATACAAAATCAAACTTTTTATTTTTAAGTAAAATCAAACAAACCTTTTAGTTTCGATTTCTTTTTTCCGCCACCTGCTTTTTCCAATATTGTCTGAGCCTTAAATTTAGCCCATGTTAATATTTGATCAATCAAGTTGCTTTTTCCAACCTATAAATATAAAACATTATTTAGAAATATTAAAAATATATATATACTTCAATCGCAATCCTTAATTTTGACTTAATACTCACTTGATTCAAAAATTTTTCAGATAAAGCACATTTAGATCCAAAGTTTTTGGCTTGAAGTGTCATATGCTCTTTGGTTTGCGAATCAAAGGTTGGGTTAACTATCAAACAATTAATGAACAACCACATGTGGGTCTTGATCTGGAATGGTTTTATCTGCATTCCGCCTTTATTTTTCTTTTTGATTATTTCTGTGAGATTTTTCACAAGAGCATCAGCCACATAATCAACATGCCTTCCACCCTGAGAAATACAAAAACTTATTATAAAAAAAATTAAAGCCACGTCTATTAAAGAACCATAATTCCATTACTACTTGACATAAAATTCATTAAGAAACTGAACTAAATAATCATTTTTATACATTACTTTAAACATAGAAAGTTCATTAAATGTAGAAGTTCAAAAATAAAAATTTGTTCTGAATTTAAAAAATTTACCTTTGTAGTTGCTATACTGTTGACAAATGATACTTGTTGAAAACCTTTCTCAGATGTCGTAACTGCGACTTCCCATCTTTCATTAACACTTTCATACATAACTTGAAGTGGATTACCTATGTCATCTTCTTTACCTTTTATATAGAGATCGATATAATCCTTAAAGGTTTTAATCTGATAATAAAGAAAAAATATATTAAGTCTTTTAATATTAGAGGAAGTAACCCAGCTAATTTAAGTTGAATTACAGAAGTACAATAAATTTAGGGATTAAATCAAAACATTTAAAAAACAAAAATATAAAACCTCAAACTTGTCCATCACCCTTCCCCTAATAACTGGTAAAATATTCAAGAAGTTTCTGCATTGTTTCAAAAGGAGAAGAGGATAGATAAAAACATTTTATTTCTTCTATAGAAACCTGATTATTTAAATATGATATCTATAGTAAATGTATTTAAGGTTATAAACATGTGCTTTATACATCCATGAAATATTTTTATATTTCACTTCTACTTTCGCACAAGTAGAATGAAATAAAAAATATAAAAAAACTACCACTACAATCCATGAAGAGTCTTGGGTTCAATACTATGTAGGGAAAGTACTGTTCCAAAGCCAACGATTTTGCAGGTAGATCAAGGCAGGATTACGTTCGACCCACCAGGTTTTTCCCTTCATTAAAAGTATTTTAACTGTGGGCGGGGTAGCCGAATGGGTTAACACGTGTGCACAGCACCGCTGTTGCCCGGCAACCTGATATATCAATCAAATGATATAAAAATAGTCACGAGTTCACATACCGGTGCCAAGTGAGTCTTTCAAATCCCCGCCCACACTCCCTGGCCCGGGAAAACACCGTATAGCCTCAACGGCGAGGAAGGGGAGGACCCAAAAAAAAGAAAAAAAAGTATTTTAATTGAGAGTAACTACTTTGTAGAGGCTGTGTGTGCCCCAGGAGGATTTCCCCACCCCAGGATCGCCCCATGGCCGATGTAACAGAATAAATAGTTTTTCTGCCATGAGTCAGGATTCACACCTGGGACCTCGGGCATTGGAAGTTAAGTGTCCTACCACTGAGCTACCCCTCTCCCTACAAATAGAATGAAATAGTTTTATAAACCATTTATTGTCTTAATTAGATGGATTTTAAATATGACTATCATTTCCGGGGATTCATTTTTGACCTAAATAAACATTTTCCATTTTTTCTCCATTTTTCAATTATAAAATTCATTCAAAAGTTATATTTACCATTTTTTCGTAACTCAGGACAATGAGAGATAGTTAATCATTTAAAATAAATCAAATTAAAAGTATTTTAGAGCAAGACATGTTGAACATTGCGCATTTGAGACCTGTAAAGAGGTATCAATAGGGATAAGACCTAAATGATATTAAAAAACAGTTATTACACAATGATACACCGAGTTTAATTAAAATCGTTAGAGCTGTTTTAAAGAAAATTGTGTAAAATCGATTATATAAAGTGCCACTTCTAGTTAGCCCATTCTGACAAAAACATTGCTGTAATATCCCAGGCATATACAGACCTTAAATATGCAATTTTACTTTTGTAGGACTTATCGTTTTTTGAGCTAGGCTGATAACAGATCATTTTAATGATCGCAATACTTTCCCTACTACATATTACATAAATAGGTAAGTGAAAATAAAAATATTTCAGTTTCTAAAATTAATTATTTTTGCTTTCACATATATATAAATATAACAATATAATAAGGGAAAATATTTTAATTGTAAACAATTTCAAATGAAGTTTTCACCAGAATTACAAGTTTTAAGGTTCTAATCAAATCAAACTTGTTCCTTGATGTCTGAAATCTAAAACCTGGGTGGAAAAATTTAATAATGAACACAAAGTTTTCAATCCCCACACAAATAAACAACTTCTATATCATCGATATTGAGGAAGAAAAACAATTAATAAATATAATAATAAAGTTTTGTGAAGTTTATAAATTCTATTTTTAAGAATTTATAAACCACAGAGAAACAAAATTTGGTCAGTTCTTGAAATAATATAAATTAATTTTTGTTATTAAAAATCAATGAACATACCATAATCTATTTGATGTATTTTATGTCTACTTGTATCTTTATCACAACTGTGTAAACTCATTTAAACAACTCCTGATTCTGAATCATAACAGCAAATTCTTTTCAATGCCGTCTATCTTCTGAACTCACCGAATTTAAGTGTTACATCATAAAATTCATTGACTTTTCTGGTTCGAAAATTTCTTGAAACTATTTCAGGTATAGTAGAAATTTTTATTTCCAAACATTTGTTAGTTAATTTGGTCTAAACTATACAGGGTAAGATTCAAGAATATAGATCTAGATCTTCACACCAAATTTTAAATCCAATGATTAAAACTAGTTTCGGGATGCAACTCTTATTTCAGTGATTACAATAAAACTCATTATTTTTTTCCTGAGTTGTAAATATATATCAATAGCATCAAGCTAATTTTATTTGTTGAAATTAGCTCAGGGTTGAACAACTATGAGATAAATTAAAATAAAATTAATATATATTACCGGTAGCTTCTCTCCATTCAGCCACACTTTCACTCCACGAGTTGAAGCAGCTACATCATAAGCACGTCGACACATAAGATCAACAATATCCTTATCCAATTTTTCCATTTTAAATTTCCTCAAGTCAGGAGAAAATGTTACTTTGGTATAGTCATGATCAGATGAGCTTTTAATCTTTACATCCTCTGCTTTGCTCATATTATCTTTCCAAGTCTAAAAAAAATAAAATAAAGAAATAACTATGCAAGGGCTTAAGCAATGGAAAGGAACCTCATTAGAATACAAATGATTAAGTACCTGTTTAAAAGCTTTTTTATACTGCACTGAACTTGTTTCAACAGTGAAACGAGTAGAAAAAATGTTGCACAATTTAGCTCCATAACCATTTCGTCCACCAGTTACTTTCTGTTCCTCATCATTGTAATTAGAGGATGTCAACAAATGACCAAATATCATAGTAGGAACATACATTTTTTCATCCTTATGCTCAACTACAGGTATACCTTGGCCATTATTCCATATTGATATAACGTTTTCTTCTCTAAAAATTTATAAAGTATAATAAAGCAGTTAAAGAAAACTACTTTAATAAATAATTATGAACTGGTGCTGCCCAATCAAAATGGGTAGCTTAAATCAATAAAAAATTTAAATGAATAACAGTATACACATATATTATATATACATATATATTTGTCTAGATTTTAATAAACAGTCTACAAAAAAATAATTACTTACGCATTAATGGTTATTTTAATCGTATCCATAGTTTTGTCTCGTTGCTTATTGTCAGCAGCATTTACCAAGATTTCGTCAAATATCTTATACAAACCAGGAACATAAGTAATTTCTCTCTGAACCATCGTTTTGGTTTCACTATCAAATACCCACATTAGCTCTGTCACAGGTTCAACAGAACCTATAAAACAAAAGAACAAAAAAAATATACGTATTATGGTAATTTTTGCCATGAATTTAAAACAGTAAAATAAAATTTAAATTCTAAATTTAAGTTTAATATCTCTCGAAGAAGTCAAAACTTCAACGAAATAGATGCACACTCTTGTGATCAACCAAAAGTAAATTCATAGAACCTTAAAAGTATATTTTGCTGGTAAATTAATTAACTAAAAACAATTAAAATTACAATAATTATTTGATTCACATAAAATCAAACTTTAAACTATGCTTGCATCTGCTCTCGGACCCACATAATTGAAATGAGAGGATTGGTTTGTTGCTCACATTTTATTTGATCAAAAATAAAAAAATAATTCAGAATAACATCCCATGTTATTTTATTTTTTCACTTTAAACCTACCCATGCTTGATTTAATGGAAGAGAGGATATTAGTTCACAAGAGCTCTACACGGAGTTGGGCTTGGTTCACAATCACTATAGTGACAGTTGCTCATGAAATACCATAAATCCCTGAGTTAATCCAAAAGAGTATTGAGGTGAAAGACTGCTAGAGTAAGTAACAAATAATTTGTTTACCATTATAGCAATTGTATATCCTTAACCTTTTACAGTTACACAGTGTAAATTGACTTATACTTAACGTTTACGATATATCACAAGTTCTTCATTAAGCTTACAAATTTTATATAGCTGTAAAAATAAATAGATTTTAACAGATAAAGTTTAGATTATTATACAACTACATGCTATTTATTGATGTATATTTTTTCTTATTGATAATTTTCCTTATTCAGTATTATTGTACTTTCAGATATTTCTCGTCAGCTGTAATTCCGAAACCATTCATTCCTTCCTAACTAAGATATATTTTTTTATTTTCATCTTACTAATTTCAGCTTCCATTTTCAGAATATTAAGCACAATTAAGAGTTAATAATAATAAAATTATAATAACGATAAGTTTCATGGTGGAGATATGGAGTTTTCAAAAGGAGAATGGGTGGAGGGTACAAGAGTTGATATCAAAACAGACAGCAACATTCAAGAATTCCATGAACAAGTGTGACCAAAGTGAATGTGTACCACAACTAATCTGTGTGGATCTCTCGTAAACTAATATTGAGATGTACACATACTATCAATTTATATTAAATGAGACTATACCCCCACTTTGCCGATCTGTTAATAAAGAATATATATAAATTTAAAAATAATAATCAATGATTAATATCTAATAAGTTTATATTTTTTTATGAACAATGTTTAATAATTCAATAACTGATATTTATAAGTGATTATTAAGTCCTTACAATTACTACTACGAGACATCAAACTATAAACATCAAAACATAACATACAGAAAAACAATATCCTCAATAACAATATACCAAACACCCTTCGGAAGATAAATATTTCAGACCATATTCAAGTATATATACAAAATAGAAAAAAAAAAAAAAAAAATAGTTGGACAGTAAAAAATAAAATAAAAACAAATCTTAACCTATAAATTTAAGTGATCATTCAGGGAACAACTTAGAAATAGCTACTTACCAACATAAGTATCAGGCCTAAGCAATATATGCTCGAGCTGTGATTTCTTCTGATACATCTTCTCAACGGTAAGGGCTTCTCCCTTCTTGCTTCCGCTTTCCACACTGTCACCCATTTTACTTCTTGTTCTACAGCAACAATATTTAACTTGATTTAATTTATCAACACAAATCAGACAAATCACTACCTTTTAAGTTACTAAGAGCCCATTTGTTAATAGAGGAGCATGTCCTTGCTCATTTATGACAAAAGGTAATACTACTAATCACATTTAACACAACTTAAACAAACACAAACTAATTCACAAATTTCCTCTGATATGTCAGAACTTATAGAAGCATCTATAATTTACAAAATATGCTAATAAACAACACTGGGATAAGACAAAGTACTTACGTTTCAACTTACACAGAAACAGTGGATATCTTGATTGAAGAAAATTTCAAAGGCTTTTTGACTATGCTGAAGTCAAAAAGATATTTTGCGAGGAAAAACTTACGCAGTTTAGATATTTCCTATTGCTTTTCAGCCATTAATGGAACGCCATATAGAAGCTAACTGACATTGGCGTTCCCGCCCGTGGAATGACCCCAACCAGCCTCATAAAAATGACTACCCTCTGTTTAAAATATACACTTGAGAGGTTTTATACAACTTTACTCTTCCGGTGAAATTTTACTATAATTAAAAAAAAAATTCAAGGTTTATTAACAACTATATCAAATCAAATAATCAATTATAATATCAATTATGAATCACCAACATTTACGCGGGAATATGTAGGTAAACAATCGTCCAAAATATGGCATAGAACATATTTGAAAGTGGAACCGGCTTTTAACGGTTTTTTTTTGGTGATATTCCATAGAACATGTGTTCAAATGGTATAATAAAGTCAAAATAAATATTTTGATAACAATTTTAATATTTGAAAAATTATATAAATTGCCAAATAGAAGAAATTATCGTAAATATTTTCTTTTATGACTCCAACGTTATTTTCTTCTTAAAAACAAAACAATAAAAACTTTAATGATATTTAAAAGCATTCATTCCTCTATACTTTTCATGGATAATTAAAACTTTATTATAAATGCATTATTGTATTTTAAAACTATCTTTATGTGTGAGTGTGTGCGTGCGCGTGTGTTAAAAAAAAGAACCACATACAACAAATGGTAAAGAAACATATACCATTTAAATACTTTGATAAATGCTTAAAACTCTCATTAGTTTATTGATCACTCATTTTGAAGTTAATTACATAAAGAAAATATCGTCTAAAACTCTAACATAATTTAATAGAATTAAAATAAAAAACAATCAAAAATACTTTAAAACAAACAAAGAAAATCTCACCATTAAATTTTGGTAATGAAAAAAAATTAAGATGACTCCTTTATACAATCCAAGATAACCAACTTGAGAAAGTTTAAACACTTCTAAATTTCGTAAAATTATTATTCACGTTAATTATGAAGATTTAACTAAATTTATTTTTGATGATAACCATTAATTATTAAATTTCACGATATTTTCATCTTTGTTATAGTTATATTTATTGTACCTTGATATTTTTCACATCTTATACATTATTTACTTGGGAGATTAGTGTCTAGACAGCGTTATTAACAATCGATCAATGAAATGAAATTGATTTAGATATTAATTTTTTTTTAGTCCAGAAAATCTATTAAAACGCGGCAGAAACGCGATTAAGTCTGATTTCCATCGAAACCACCTTACGCTACAGTTCACCAAACATGCTATTAAATTTGATGACTTTACATTTCGCAAAAAAAATACACATTATAGTGTATACCACGGTCGGATCTACGAGGAGGGGTCTTTGGTGCGGAAGCCCCCTCCTCCCTCCCTCACTCCCAAAATGGTAAAATATAACCATGTTTTGTGAAAAAAAAAATATTAAAAAATTATCTCTTAAAGTATTATTGTTTGTGTAATTACATTTAAAAGGACTTTATGAATCACTTAAACACCATTTCATATAAATAGTTAGTTTCTTTCCTTTTTTCCAAAGTAATTATCGTTACTTTTATGAAAAAAAAGCTTTCGGGGTGAAGCCCCCCAAAATTATATCCTGGATCCGCTAGTGGTGTTTACCGTCCCAAGTGGTAAAATATAACAATGCACTAGCGGATCCAGGATTTAATTTGGGGGGGGAGGCTTCAGCCCGAAAGTTTTTTTTTCATAAAAATAACAATAATTACTATGGAAAAAAAGAAAGAAACTAACTACCTATATGAGATGGTGTTTAAGTGATTCCTAAAGCCCTTTTAAATGTAATTACACGAACAATAATACTTTAAGAGATATTTTTTTTCGATAAAACATGGTTATATTTTCCCATTTTGGGTGGGGTGAGCTTCAGCCCGAAAGCTCCCCCCGTAGATCCGCCCCTGTAACCAAGTATTATGAAAAAAATATAAAATAAATATCGGTAAAAGTATTATTGATAGTGCAATTACGTTTAATAACGCTTCAAGAATCATTTAAATACCATTTCATAGAGGTAATTAGAATGTTTCTTCTTCTTCCAAAGTAATAATCGGTATATATACAAAAAAAAACAAAAAACTTTCAGGCTGAAGCCTCCCCTCCCCTCCGTCAAAAAAAATTAAATCCTCGATCTGTTAGTGCCTAACAGCCACTAGCGAAACTATGAAGATGCGAGAAGAGAAGGGATGGAGGACTTTTGGGATGACCTCATCTTCCCTGAGAATGGTGAAATGTTTTATTTTCGTTTTTTCATATTTATTTCTGTGAGTGATCTGTGCTATGTACTTAAAAAATCTGAGTATGTGCTCTTTTTTTTTTCTTAAAACGCATATATTTCAGCTACTAAATGTAAGCACGTACCAAGAATATATATAACACATGTATCCGTTAAGGTGTGTTTAGATATTTCATAAACTATGGGGAACACAATTATCTAAATTTATCTTGCTACAGACAGCAAATGGAAAGCAATCAAAAACAAAAAATAGAAATACTAGCTTAGGCAGAGGTTTCCAAACTTATGGGCCCGCGGGCCACATTGAGACCTCTACTAAGTCTCGTGGGCCGCATTAAGACCTTCACTTAAGTCCCGCGAACAAGGGCTTGTGATGAAAAAAAAATCTTGTTCTATAAATGACACTTTCATTTGTGAAATCAGTTTTTTAAGATAAAAAATAGCCATGCAATAAATGTAGTAACCTCTTGTGTAAGTAACTTGCTAAATTTTATATATTTTTAATAGTTTTAAAATTTTAACATGTAATCAAAGAAACTTTCGGAGCCGCACTGGAGGTGTTTGCTGGCCGTAGTTTAGAGACCCCCTGGCTAATAGCCCAGTAACCTTGTCATGAAAATGGGGTCTAAGTTGCATCGAATTGGGATAAAAGGTTTCTTTTTTTCTTGTATGGGATATGACTGAGATGCAAACTCCAAATTTTGGACCTCGGCGGCCTCTCACCTCTCCCCTCCCCCGAATTACATTCGAAAATCCCAAAAACTGTTATATTTTTACGCTTTTATCGTACCCCCTCCCATTTTGACGATGAATGAGCACGTTTTCGACAAAAAACATTATATTTATTAAACTAGATTAAATATACTACAATTATATTTATTAAACTAGATTAAATATACTACAATTTAAGACCAGAACAAATTGGGTAGGTTTAATAGTTTTTGAGATACAGCTTTTCAACGTTTTGGAAATTTTTCGAACTTGAAAATTTTAAGCTATTTTTCATATTTGATCATTCGTCATTATCTTTATATCTTCAATAACCTGTCTTACATGATTCAGTGAAGTTAATTTTTATTCATTTTAACATTATGAAGGAGGGATGAGGGAGGAGGTGGTTTGGTGAGAGGAGCACTAGCGGATCCAGGATTTAATTTTGGGAGGGGGCTTCAGCCCGAAAGATTTTTTTTCATGCACATATAACGATAATTAATTTGAAAAAAAAGAAAGAAATTAACTACCTATACGAAATGGTGTTTAAGTGGTTCTTTAAGTCCTATTAAATATAATTACACGAAAAAGAATACTTTAAGAGGTAGTTTATCATATTTTTTTTCTGTAAAACATGGTTATATTTTACCATTTTGGGGGAGGGCTTCAGCCCGAAAATCCCCTCCCCGTAGATCCGCCTGTGGAGAGGAGAGATCACTTTTCACAACCAGAAGACTGAAATTGAAATAAAAAAAATATTTAACAAAGATTTACATCAAGTGCATACAAAAATTGTAAATGAAATAAATAAAATATTCGAAACTTTTAAGCTAATATTCAAGTTTATATCTTCAATAACCTACGATATAATAATTTGTGAAGTAAACATTTATTTAATTTATTATTTTAAAAGAGTAGGGTACATGGATATATGAATGGCTATAATAAGAAATAGAAACCCTAAGTTGATTTATGTGAATCTAATATTATAAGGTAATTGATGAAATAAGTGAGCTAGAATGACCTGAGCTATTTATTCTGTTCGATCTTCTTCCTATATATATATATATATATATATATATATATATATATATATATATATATATATATATATATATATATATATATATATATATATATATAGGAAGAAGATCGAACAGAATAAATATATATTATAAGGTAATTGATGAAATTAATGAATCTAATATTATAAGGTAATTGATATATATATATATATATATATATATATATATATATATATATATATATATATATATATATATATATAGGAAGAAGATCGAACAGAATAAATAGCTCAGGTCATTCTAGCTCACTTATTTCATCAATTACCTTAATAAATAGCTCAGGTCATTCTAGCTCACTTATTTCATCAATTACCTTATAATATTAGATTATATATATATATATATATATATATATATATATATATAGATATATATATATATATACATATAGAAATAGAAATAGAAATAGAAAATCATCTTTATTCTGGGACTAAGTCCCTTAAGAATAACAGTATTGTTCACATAAATCTGGCCAAAAGACCGATTACAATAAAGAATGCCTAAAATACTAATAATAAATTAAGAATAATAGCTCTTAGGATATATTAACGAAAACAGCTGGGTAATATGGATGCAATACTGCAATATTGGAGCTAAAACAATAACATAATAATCACTTAATGAAATTAGAAAGGAATGCTAAATCAATTTTATAAGCGAAGCATTGTAGTGATGGAATATAAATATTTAAAAAAATATAACTGTTGATATATAAACAAATAAATTGTAAAAATTGATTTACATATGTCCCCTAAGATGTTTAAGTGAATACACGTAAAGATTATGAGAAGAAAAAAAATAAAATAAAGTATTTCTATACACATAAAAAGGAGCATGTCATAGATAAGTAGAAAATAAAATACATTTTAAAAAAAATCAATCTTATGAATAAGAAAATTAGAAGTTAAGAAAAACAAATTTTACAAACTCACGATGCTTTGTGGGTATTACATAGCATATATGATATTTTAAAAAAATAGCGAAGTTGATCATTTCCCAGTTGGAAAGAAAGATCGAATATTTGTGAATAAAATCGAATATTATCCATTACACATTCGATTAAGAATTCTTCCACATCCAATGCATATTTTACACTGAACCAAAATAATATAATTTGAGAGGTTGTACAATGAAAACATGCATATAACATTTTTTAAAAAATACATATATAGCATATGTAACATTAAAAAAAAAAAGAATAAAATAAAATAATTTTTGAGGACAAAAAAGCGGAAAAAAAGATGACAAGGTTGTGAGGCAGAGGTAAGTG